GCGACGCCGCACCGAGCAGGGACAGCGAGGGCACCGAGGAAGGGGCGAAGGATGAGAAGAGTGAGAGTGAGGACGGGGAGCGGGAGCACGAGGAGGAGGGGGAGAAGGACTCCGAGAAGAAGGAGAAGAGCGGGGAGACCCACGCCACCCAGGGCCCGAGCCAGGCCGAGCCCACCCCTGTGCCCTCGTCTTCCGGTAGAACTGCCCAGGACGGGGGGCATCAGACTATACCGGGGCCCCAGCGCAACCACACTGCCGTCCCCACGGACCAGCCCGATGACACGAGGGGTGCCCGCCTGGGCTCCGAGTCAGTCACCTCCACCCAAGTGCCCCCCACAGTCACACAGGAGCCCTACGAAGGGAGTGATCGCAAGAGTCCTGCACTGCCATCTAAAAAGCCCATGTCCCGAGGGGACCGCTTTTCCGAGGACAGCAAGTTCATCACTGTCAACCCAGGTAGGTGGCATCTTCATCCGGGCTCTGTGCTCTGTGAGGAGCCTTGCCCTTTAAAAACAATTGGGTTAGGTGTGCCGATCCAGAACGTGCCAGCGCTCCCGGAATGCCTGTGCCGGGGACGGAAGACGTGTGTGTGTGTGTCTGTGTGTGTGTCTATGTGTGTATGTGCGTGTGTGTGTGTGTCTGTGTGTGTCTGTGTGTGTCTGTGTGTCCATCTTTTATTCCAGTAAGAGTAACCTGCTTCTTTACTGTTGCTGGAATAAGTCTTGCCTTGATCTTTCTTCCTGGTTAAATCCACTTTCCTCAAAGTAACTCTAAGGATTTCAACTGTGCAATGAAGTACATGACTAAAGATGGCATCAATATTAAATTTATCCATTAAGATGTAATTCCTTACTCACGTATTCAACCTGTGATGACGGACTGCCTGCTTGGTGCCAGACACTGGGCTGGGGGCTGACCCAGGTGAGCCTGGCCCCGCCCCGTGAAGTTCATGGTGCAGAGGGGACGGAGGTGCTGGCAGGTACTGGGGTGCACGCCAGGAAGCAGGAGGTGGGATGGCAGAGAGCAAGCAAGGAGGCGGCTGGAGGCAGAAAACGCGCTCACTGAGGGCGGAGGCTGTGAGCCGGGAACAGGGAAGAGGGTGCTGTGGGAGAGGATAGTGAGCAGGGACGTGGGGAGTGACATTCACATGGAACGGCTCATGTCGGGAGAGCTGGTATAGCCCACGATCCCACCCAAGAAACAGGGCTCTCCACCCAGAGCCCCGGGTTACAGGGCTGAGGCCAGGGCGTGGCTGGTCAGGCCTCCACAGTGAGGATGTGATCTGTCACTCTGACCGGTGGCAGTTTTGCTTTGTCATATGTTCAGATGTTAATGAACCCCCCACCCCCACCCATGGTGTCTCCGAGGAAGCCTTGAGCATCAGGGGTTGTTACTGTTGTGAGGTGTTTTCTTAATAAGAAGTCCTTCCTTTTGCCAGACTACAAGATGTTTAACAACAATTTTTTGCATCTAAGCTGTTTGGGAGTTATAAGAGTGCAAAAAAAAAAAAAGCAACTGGTAAATATTTATTTGCTTTTGCACTTGTAAACATTAAAATTCATCTAAAGCTGAGAGCTCGTATGTTAAGATGCAACTTAGAATAAATTTTCATGTTTGAATTGCGTGCTCCCGAAAGCTGGGCTGGCCTCCTTTCTGGAAGGGCGGGCTCCTGTGGGTGCTGCCGCAGTGGGTCCTGGTTTAGGGGGTGCTGCCGCGCAGTGGGTCCTGGTTTACGGGGTGCTGCCGCAGTGGGTCCTGGTTTAGGGGAAGGTGCCGAGTAGCTTCCGCAGAACTGAGTGCAGGGAAGACCGGGCCACCTGTGAGGCTGTTGGAAGCCATTCCTACACGAACCGTGACATGCCCTCTAGGAATCGCTGTGAAAAAGTCGAATTTCTTAGACTGGAAGATATTAAGGAAATATTTATGGAGTACCCAGTGTGTACCAGGCACGGAACTAGGCGTTGGGAATAGAACACAGATCAAAACGGGCCCCTGCTCTTCTGGGGTTTAGGTTCTAGCGGGGGCACAGCGACCGTGGAGCCTGGAGTGGTGAAGGAGTGATGTTTGAGCAGAGACCCAAGTATGAGAAGGAGCTGGCCATGCAGAGATCCGTGTAGGAACCTTCCAGAGACCCCAAAGGAGGTGCTACTTGGAACAGTCGCGGAGCCGTGGCCAGTCTGGCCACCAGTCAGGAGGGGGATGTGGGATGGCTCAAGCCGGAAGGGGCTCGCCAGCCAGGCTGAGGACTGGGCGCTGACAGATGGAAAACCAGCGGTGGATTTCAGTAGAAGACAGCCAGCCATGAGCTTTTGGGGGAGATGGCTCAGCCTCGGGGTGGAGATTATGGGGTGGGAGGGGGGACGCAAGAGTGGACACAGGAATCCCAGCTCGGAGGTGATGGTGATGGTGATGGTGATGGTGATGATGATGGTGATGGTGGTGATGCTGGTGATAGAAATGGTGATAGTGATATTGACGATGGTGATAGTTGTGATGATGATGACAGTGGTGGTGATATTGGCAGTAGAGATGATATTGGTGATTATGGTGGAAGTGATGATTTTGAATGGATTCTTTTGAGAAATCAGGCTCTGCACCGGGGGCTGGCAGAGTGGTGGCCTCGGAGGCTCCTCTATGCACTGCTCTCCCCCCTCCTGAGACAGGTGATGCTGAGGGCTGAGGTGGGAGTGTTCACACTGTGAGAGGCTGCAGTGGGAGTGTTCACACTGCGAGAGGCTGCGGTGGGAGTGTTCACACTGTGAGAGGCTGCGGTGGGAGCGTTCACACTGTGAGAGGCTGCGGTGGGGCGGCCCTGGGGCGCGTCCAGGTGAGGGAATGAGTCATGGCAGCTGGACTCCAATCCCAGCTCCCGGAGAGAGTGGTGAAGGAACAGATGTCAGCCTGGGGGCGTCCCAGCTCCAGGTGTGGGCGTGTGGGTCCCCAGCTTCAGCCGTCAGGAGTCGGGGAGTCTGCGATCTTGGCAGATGCGCTTTTGGAGTCAGATCGCCCAGAAGGCTCTGTGCCTTGTCCACTCAGGGTCCTCGGGCCCATCTTTGCTCAGTGTCCTTCTGTCCTAAGAGCCGTTAGTGCAGAAGGAGGTGTCGATAAACGGAGTCACCTGTCTGTGACGAGGAGGGAGGAGCCCAGTCGAGATGGGGGCTACGAGGAGGCCCTAGCTGGTCTGCGTTTCACGGGCATCCTGGACCTTGAGGAGCAGGAGAAGTCTGGTCCCCAACGAACTGGCATTGAAAATGACACCCCAGAACTCTGCTCCGTCCCCGACACTGCAGACCAGAGCGCCTCCCTTGGTGCCTCCGTTTCAGCGGGAAGGGTCGCTGCTTCCCTAGGGGACAGTGATCCTGCTTTAGAGTTCCAGGCCATTCAAGTTTCAGGGTGGGGGTGGTGACTGTGCAAGCCAGAGGCCAGCCAGCTTGTTCTGCAAAGGGCCAGACAGTAACATTGTCAGGTTTGTGGGCCATCGGTCTGTGTCGCATCTACTCCACGCCACCGTGGGGCCCAGAAGTAACCAGTCAGCACTGAGCAGATGCGGTCAGTTCCACCCAAACTCTCTACAAAAACAGACGGCGGGCCAGGTTTGATCTGCGAGCCGTCTGCTGCTGACCGGCCCCTCGTTTAAGCAGCAATGTCTGTGCCTGTTGTCAGGAAAGGGTGTAAGTTGAGGGTAAAACGCACAAATCCCCCTGTTTGCTTCCCCCCGTCCCTCCCTTTCCCCTGTCTGCCTCCTCCAGCTTGGTATTTATTTTTGAAATAAATTCACTGTCGTTTTTATCTTAGTTGTGACTTACTTCAAAGACCTTTGCATGTACATTTTTAAAAATGTATTCCACATTTATTTTTTTCTTCACATTAAGTAAAAACAACTATTGCGATCAATATTTACTATGTGAAGAAAAGTGTTAACATTTAAAGTTACAAACTATGTTTTTACCAGCATCTCCAAGAGACTTGTTTAAATTCACTTGATGTTTGATAACATCTTTTCAAGGCCTATGAGCGGTAGCTTTAGTATATTAATTCACAAGGAAAGAGAGGAGGAGGAATTTTTCTGTTGATGAAATGGCACAAACGCAGGCACCTACAGAAATCAGTCAGGTGATATCCATGAGAGAAGAGGACCAGGTGCCAGACATTAGGGAGTGGTGAGGACTGTGGCAAACTAGACAGCACATGTCCTTTCTAAAGAGGCCACCTCACTCAGTTCCAGCTGGTTGCAGTCAGTGAGAATGCCTAGCGAGCCAGAAATCCAGGTCTTTGTGCAGCATCTCCCAATTTTTCAGTGAATTCACATTTTTTAAACAATTTCATTTTTGTCTTATTCCCCCCCCCCCCTTCATATTATGCCAACAGGTAGGCACCGCAGTGCTTGGCCTCTGCAGTAGCGTTGATTTCCATAGTTGCACCTGCCCTAGAAGCTGATCAGACGGATTGGAGGCCTGCATGCAGGCACTCTGCCCCTCACCACACGTTTTGTCAGCATCTATTTAGTGCGAAGCCCTCAGTGGGATGCCCTTCATATTGCCAACAGGTAGGCACCGCAGTGCTTGGCCTCTGCAGTAGCGTTGATTTCCATAGTTGCACCTGCCCTAGAAGCTGATCAGACGGATTGGAGGCCTGCATGCAGGCACTCTGCCCCTCACCACACGTTTTGTCAGCATCTATTTAGTGCGAAGCCCTCAGTGGGATGTGTGCTGCATGGAAATGCAACACGGTCCCTCTGTCCGCAGCCACAGCCTGAATGTGGTAGAGACACCCCCGGAATTCACTAGATGTGGGAAAACGTTCTTGGGGCGGGGTGCAGAACAGAATGCCCTGCAGAAACATGGCAGGGTGGGCGCCGTCTACACACCCAGCACTTAGTGCCAGGGTTTCCTTTCTGGCCTCCACGAATCAAGGAAACCGTTTTTCCAGACTGAATCCTGCTCAGATCCCCAGTTTAAATACCCATCCCCGAAAGCTCCTCCGGGCCGACCCTGAGCCAGTGCTGAAGGAGCGGGCCGGTTCAGGGGTCAGCAAACAGTCTCCAGGCCACACCTGGCCCGTGGGAGATGTTGTCCGGCTCAGGCGCTAAGACCGGACAGGGCTGGTCAGAGCCTGGGGCTGCTGTGCTGCTCTCAGCCCGAGTGGGGGGTGCTGAGCCCCAGCCACCCCTCCGCTCTGCTGAGCCCCAGCCTGAGGACCTCTGGCACTCGCCAGCTCCGAGGAACCCAGCTGAGAACCTCTGATTATGGACACAATAGCGTTCATTCCGGGCTGTGCCAGTTACCCTGCAGTGCCCCCGCAAGGGCTGTGCTGGCGTTGCTGCCATTGGGGCGGCAGTCTGGAATAATTCGCTAATAATGTTCATTATTTAGTGAATAGTTGAGTGTGTGCTTTAAAAAAAGATAGCAGTTTTCCATTTATGGGAGAGGTTCTCAACCATATATGATCCCCCCGCC